ATTCAATGACCGAACTACAGACACGAAACGTATATTAATCTAGTTAGTCACAAAATATTGGTTGTTGTAGTTATTGGTTGCAATAATAGACTCCGTTTTCTATTAGGCCTTTCAAAATGGAACAGTCCCTCCAAAATATTTGTAAATTATAACGTATACAGTTTTGATGAAGTAATTAGAATATATGTGTTCTCAATGATGCCAAGAATATCTAATGGTAGGAACTGTATCTTGAAATCTCTGCGGATTTATGACATTCACTTAAAGTCTAGTATTATAATTAGATGTAAAACTATATAATAGTAAGAACTGTATCTTGAAATCTCCGTGGAACTATTAAATTCATTAAAATTCTCGTATTATAATTAGATGAACAAATTACTCTTCAATTATGCTACATACTTTTATTCTTAACAATGCCGGGCATAGTCTATTAGTGTAAATATCTATGTATACATGCATACATACATATACATATATATATATATATATATATATATATATATATATATATATATATATATATAATTAATTAAATAACCTACATGTCATGTTGTGCTGCAATACATCAAGCCGTGCCAGTCTTCAAGGACCCAAATTTTGTGATACAAATCCGAAGTCATTTTCACACACCGTCGGTATCAGATAGAAATACAAGGCGTGATTTGATATCTTAGATATACAGCTCGCCTTATCACTGTTATAGGAACAGTAAAATGAAAATGTCCAGTCAGCGATCTGTTGTTACGTTTAGGATGATACGAGATCGAAGTGAAGATAATGACTTAATAGTACTAATATTAGTACCTTAGTGCTTTTGTGGACACGGTACTAATATGAGTCTATGTGTGTTACTGGAGCAGCCGGATGTGATTCACTACCGGCTCTTTTTTAACCTAATATGAAAAATTCTGAACATGTTGTTTTGATATATTATTAAATAAATTGAGTAGTTCTCTTATTTAATACCGGAATAATCGCAAATCATTGTAGAAATAGTGGTAAAATCTCGTTTACCTTTCTTATCCAATATTTTTGTTTTGATCGTCCGCCATATTATTTCAAATAATGCCTGCTTCCGTTCTCAGCCTCGTTTGTTTGTGTGCCATATAAGGACCTTAATGCCTTATTTGGAAACGTAAATAGATCGTAGTAAAAAATATATGGCGCTGTTTGAATCGGAAATTCTGCGCATTAAAAGTAAATACGGTTTACCGTTGACTTTGAAATTGCACCAAGAAGCAATTATTTTCTCAACAAAACCGTATTCTGCAATTTATGCACGTATCCATGCTCCACCTCGCGTTATGTCATTCAACAACTAATACCATAGTGTAGAATATCCATATATAGTCTGGCAAAACTTATGTAGAAAAGGGGTCATGGCGAGAGTCTCGCGTTATCTGTCATGGTGGACACAGTGAGGTTAGTATAACTACGCCAATTTATTTTACCGTGTAAGGGCTTAATAAATTCAAAATAATCCAGACTTCTTTGACGAAATGATTAAACTTATTTAGTAGATTTCTAAATTATTTGTGTTTCTGACTTAGGAGAGGATTGTTTTTTTTTTGCTCCATTACATGACATGGGATCAGTTCGTAGCCTCAGCCACAAAAAAATAAGTTGAAGCTTCGACATCATAGCTAAATGACCTAATAATATTTCATACTTATGGAGTACTTATAGTGTCATTTTAGATATAGGGGGAGAAAAGATAAATTTCTGAGGACATGGAAGGGTATATCATGTGAGTGTGAAGTCTTTTACTGCAAAAGGATTCTAAATTTACATTAGTATAAATGTTGAATTAGTTCTGTCAGTAATTAAGGTTATGTGGTAAAGCAAAATAAATTATATTGAACAAGATTTAAGCAATGATATTGTACAATATATAACAATATACATGACAATATGGAAATTTTGTTTGCCGTTGAGTTGTAGTAATGGATCGATCTTTGCACCGAAACTTAACTGCACCCCTATCTTTGTTTAGATGAACTCTCCTGTGTCAGTATACCTGGGTTAAAATGTAACACATTCAAGATCCCTGGCCTACTTGTTTGTTGTCAGCCTAAATGATATGCGTGCATAGGCTCTTAGATATATTTTAATATTTAAAAAGGTTGCTCAGTTTAGCTATATCGATAAATTATATTGGTCGAGTTAAGAGTGATCACTGATTTATGTTAAACAATTTGTTGCCCTTTGATTAAAGATAACATGAAAATTTCTATATTTATTAATTAGCGTTAAAAAGCACTGCCAATCTAGATTCAATCACGTCGACATTGCTAAGTTAAAAATTATATTGGATATTGTATTGTGCAGATTGAGGTTTCAGATTTACCATTTTCAGGTTAAGGTTGTTTTTTTTTTATTACCGAAACTCATATGTTAACGAAACAAAATTGCTTACTACTTCTAGGGTAAAATGCTTATAAGATTTAATGTCACAAGAATCAACTTATGCACTCATGAACACAGAATGTATAGACAGTCCTTTCATCTTTAACGCCGCCATTTTTTGTAATTGTAAAGTATTAGTAAGATGAATTACGACTAGATGGCACCACCATCGTCATTACCAATAAAATTGAAGACAACTCAAGTAATTATAGAGAAAGAAACTGCCACACACACAGTATATGTACAATGTGACATCATCTTTATCAATGAAATTGTATATAACTAATACATAATCATTGCAAAATACCATGTGTTGTTTTCATTACTCACGTGTTGTTCAATGAAATCATTTAATGAGTCAAACAAGGACGACAGTTTACCCTGATTGATCACCAAAATAAAAATTTATACGGTGATCCTGTACCATAGGAGCCCACTTGATTACACGAGTGTTCTCCTTATATCGAGACGGCACGTCCCTTAATGTGTCAGCTAGTAATTCAGAAAAGTGATATTTTAATTCCTGTTCTGATTGTAAAAACTTTCCATGTGAGGACTAGGATTGTGAAGAACAATCGTCCTGATTTAATGCCACAACGCAGAGAGACGAATGCATCCACTATAACCGGTAAGAGGTGGATTTTAAGTCCTTTGTTGTTCTTCTGGAATATTAAGAGGTGATTAGTTGCGGAACACGTAGAACCATATCAAACAGAAGTTTCTCATTAATAAGTTGGTTCGGAATTGTACTTTTATACAGATGCATACGGCATCTTACCTCGAAGTTTACGTGAGAAGAAACGCCGTCATGCTGATTCAATGATTACTGCACCTGATAAAACAAACATCCGTGTGCAGCGTTTAGAGTACGATAATTGTGAAAATTTATATGAAAGCATTAAACGCATTTTTATAAAAATATAATTTTGCATTTAACTGATGCTTAAAAAGAGGTTTGTGTGAGAATATTTAAAAAATACAAAGTTTTACCGGTTTCTAAGTATTTCCCATGACTTCTTTCATGGATATTTATTTAGGATAGTGTTGAATTTCTTTTAAATGTCCCGTTTCCAATGAAAATCCCATGTCTTAACTACAGCTTGTTTTTCATTTTTCTTTTTCTGCAACTCAGTTAGCAAAACGATTTTATTATATCGCTATTGATGGAGACTCCGTGCATTTTACTCAAACGCAATGTATATTGAAATAACACGATATGAGCTTAAAATTTGGAAAATATATATAATCTACCCAACCTCTCTATTTTTTTGTATATTTTTCATTTTGAGAAAACCATTAAACCAATTCAGCATTAAACCAAAACATGAAATAGTAACGAAAGATCGAACGACGAAGAAAAATGAATTGACAATCAGTTCTTTCTTGTTCCATATCGTGACTGATTAATTAATCGATTCATTGATTGAAAGCTCGTAAGTGATCGATCCATCCATTGACATATTAATTTATCTGTATTATTTTTAAATATTTATCTGATACGCAAGATTTCCTTATTTTCCCATAATCAACGTAATTAGAATTAATTTGTTCTTTGCTTTATATGCAACACCCTTTTAAATTATTCAAAAAACAAACTCTGCATATCCAGTTAAATATTTTGGATAAGTTTTCATTTTATCATTTCAGCAGAATTCGAAACAAAGTTTAAGAGGTGAATTTTGTTTTAAGATACGTCTTATACTGTTTTGACAGGTGACAAATAATCCCTTCAGTCAATTTAACCGTTTCGAAATAACTGAACCCTAAACACAATGCGTAAATCATGAACAGAGTTTATTAAAGGCTCTTCACGGGTGGTATGATTTAGCATGTCCCCAGTGTAGTTTGACCACCTCATTATGAGTCACAATCATACTTAAACTAAGTCACTATGTTGTGGAATCTTCTTGACAGCCCCTTATCAAGCCATTTAAAGAGGCGACTCCTAGTAAGATTTACCGTCGTAATGTAGACCTAGAAAAGACAGTTTGTTATTTTGAATGAATGAAAATTGTTCATTCCTCACTTTTGGTGGTCTAAATCGCACACCGTTCCGGATCACTGCCATCTCACTTGTCTTACGTGGGTTCGAGTCTCAGGCTCGGCTAATGTGGGTACGCGAGAAAGCTTATAAGTAGCTTCTTGTGGCTCGGTGGTTCTTCCCGGTGTTTTCCAGGGATCTTCTTCCACCATTTATACTGGCCGCCATGTATAGCCTATATTTAGCTGAAAAATGGCGTTGAAACTTACAGTAAGAATAATTAGTCTTGGAGAGAGAGAGAGAGAGAGAGAGAGAGAGAGAGAGAGAGAGAGAGAGAGAGAGAGAGAGAGAGAGAGAGAGAGAGAGAGAGTGCGTTAGTTACACTTTACCAGATTACTTATATTAAAACAAATCAGTTTATTTTTATTTTAAATTCAATGGACGATCATTTAGTAACTCATCATATATAACTAATATTCACATCTGTATGATCATGTTTTGTTCGTTTTCTGCGAAAGAGTTTCTACAAATGAATATAAGCTCCTCTTTGAATTAATGTATGATTTACACTCTAAACATTGGGCAATATATTTCGTCTCTGTAGGAGACCGCTCCGGAGGCCTAGTGGTATAGCGTCCGCCTCGGATGCGGGAGGTCGTGGGTTCTAGCCCTGGCCGAATCATACCAAATACTTTTAAAAATAGAACTAAAAGCTGCCTCGCTTAGCTCTCAGCATAAAGAGCGTAGTGTTAGGACTAGTCGACCTGGTTTAAAGATTGCTGCGGCAAGCTGCCCCATTGCTAAACATCACTGTAAACTGTCACACTGCAGACATCGTAGCGATATGACTGAATTTTTTTTTTTAAAGCTACATTAAAAATCTAAATTACAAAAACATACCCGTCTCTTTAGGTAGCAACGTGTATATGATATATTTAATTGTATATGGGAATATTTTTTATCTATTTCTTTTTAAGCATTCAACACATTTTTCTTTTTTTACTGAATGAATCATTCCTTTACCAGATAATTTTGTCACTGTTGTGTAGATTACACTTACTGCGAAAGGTTTATTTGCTTATCCATGTTGTCTACAGGTACGGTCTAGGAGACAGACATTTGAGGCACGATAGGTGTGTTCTTATATAGGTCAAGATATGCATTCATAAACCACGGGATGGGCCTAACCTTCAAAATATAAGTTCTGTGATTGTATTTATTGTTGGCAGTTCAAGCATAAGTAGTACTGATCTTATTCAGTTTACTACACTCAAAACCACTTTGCTTACAGAATTGGTGTGAATTACTCTCGAATTATACTTTTCAATGTATCGATATATTCAACATAATGTGAGATTCATTACAAAAGAATATTTTTTTTTAATTGAAAAAGAGTCATTTGATTTTGTTACCGCACTGTTCCAAGCAGTAGCTTCTCGTAGGTCGGTGGTTCTTTCCGCGGATTTCCCTGTTTCTTCCTCCACCATTATTACTGGCCGCCATGTATAGCCTATCGTGTGCTGAAAAATGGCTTTATGCCCCAGAACAACAACAACCAAAAAAATAAGGCATTACGAAATTTTGTTTTTTTCTCTCTACCCGATACATTGACTATTTCTGCATACTTGATATTGTAATTATCAGAAACAAAATGCGACAATTCAGCTAGAAAGACAGTTCCCGATCAAATAGAAGTTCGAATCCATTTATCGGCTACATTCATTCTGGCTCTTGTGGTGTATTCCTAAGCAAGGCAGTTTTGTTTTTGTACCATATAACAAATCAAAGCATAGATGTAAAAAAAAAAACCAGCAAAAAAAAAATCTGAAAACACTTTTCCTAACAAAGTATGTATGTATGTATGTATGTATGTATGTATGTATGTATGTATGTATGTATGTATGTATGTATGTATGTATGTATGTATGTATGTATGTATGTATGTATGTATGTATGTATGTATGCATGCATGCATGCATGCATGCATGCATGCATGCATGCATGCATGCATGCATGTATGTATGTATGTATGTATGTATGTATGTATGTATGTATGTATGTATGTATGTGTGTGTGTGCGTGCGTGCGTGCGTGCGCGCGCTTGCATGCATGTATGTATGTATGTATATATGTATGTATGTATGTATGTATGTATGTATGTATGTATGTATGTATGTATGTATGTATGTATGTATGTATGTATGTATGTATGTATGTATGTATGTATGTATGTATGTATGTATGTATGTATGTATGTATGTTCTTACCATAACCTTTTATGACTAACAAATGACATGCATAAACTGACGCTATGAAAAATATCGCCAAAACTTTGAAAGAAAATGAACCTTTACAGTTGACTCAGCTTCAAATTTATCTCATCGACCTGAAGCTGTCTTGTGAGAATGAACCGAATAACCCCAGAAAGCACAAATATCTTTTTACATTTGTTTACGCGTGTCACAAACCTGGGTGTAAAAAAGAACATTGCAAGATTGGCAATTGTTATTTTATTCAGAAGATTAAATCAATGCGCAATAAAATTGATCAAATTTGTTATCCAGCATGACTGCGAATCATAGCTCACGGATATGCTTAAAACTATTTTTAGTTCCATTATGTCCAGTGTACTTTATGGATTTGTATCCAAATTGAAGCTAAGAAATATATCGCAAAATAAAATCACATACTTTAAGTTTATTCTTGCAGCAGCTACTTATTGTATGCACATTTGTTTAAATATTTATATTTTTTATCTTCTGTAAAAGGAATTCAATATACGTTACTGCCTGACCCTAATTAGAACACAGTGCGTGCCTTGTATAATATAGAATGCTTTTCACCCGTTAGAACATTGTGAATTGCTTGCAAAGTATAATATATAATGATTTACTCTTATTGAACACAATGAATAGATAGTGTAATATTCAAAAGTTTGATGTTATTAGATCACTACCCATACATTGTGTATTATTTAATGTTTTACAGTCGCATTTACGCCATATTATTTGACGAGCTATATTTGTTTCCTTTTTTAAAGCTAAGAATACAAACAAGGTGCTTTCACATAAGCTCTAATGAACCTGGAAATAGATCAAGGTGAAATTCTATCGCTCCGTCCTGCTAACAAATAACGGACGGTTGTACATATAAGGTAAAAGATATACAGAGATAGCTCCTTATATGGATATATGCTTAAGTCTTACATGTAACTCATTGATTGATAAATACAGTCCTTATATGGAATAGTTTTACTCCATACGACATTGTGGGGTGCAAATATCAAGAGAAATGAAACAATTCATACAGAAATGTTAACCCTGAAAATGTACAATGCATACTTATAGAAGGGTACGGATGGCAGTTGACAGTGAGTAAAAACGCAGCGTTACAACTGTGTATTAAATATGAGGCGCCATAGCTGACAAACCGCTGGTCAAATCAGAACGTTGCCGTTGAAATTTTATTATTGTAGGTTGAGAGTTTCAATTTAACATGTTGAATAGCGTTGGTTATGGTGAAAGTTCCATTTCGTCTGTTGAGTTTTTAGATTGTATCTATTGAATTACATGGTGGTGGTTGGACATTTTATTGTGCTTGTCAGAATTATTATTTTTACATGGTGAAATGATGTGTTGGTGTTAAAAGTAACATTACACAATGTCCACTTTAACAATTCAAAATAATATCGAGTATTAAGATACATCATTCGTGTATTCAATTATGAGGAGCCATTACATTTCATGCATTTACAGTTTGAAAGATACCATTCACAGGTCAAGAATTACTATTAATTTATTCGCTAGAGGTCGCTCTCGTGAACGGACCGTGCTATTTTGAAACAAGGAGGCCACTTGTAGTTGCTGTGATGAAAAATATATACTCTCCAGATGAAATGGAACCTTCATTACAGTTACATATAATATAGTCCTTGTTTCCCTTTAAACCTTAACACCCCATTTTTGATATTTGTGGTTTTTTTATGTTGGGGTTTAGGGTCAGAGTCCATTTCCTAAAAAAAAGAAATTGAATTCGCCGACACCATTTGGTGTTGGCATAGGGTTCTCGCCTACTATCAGGCCTAGCAAACTTAAATAACCTTACATTGACCCATACTTACATTTAATGGATAGGAAAATCATTTGTCTTCTCAAACAGACAAAACCTACACTGCAAAACATCGACGCGGAAATAGAGCTTTAAACCACCACTGTATAATTCAACATATAAAATCTAAACATCTCGATCAAGAAAATGGAGCTTTAAGGACATCCAATTATATCCAACACGTGATATTGGATTTCTGGATATAATGACATCGAAATTTCAACTGCAACTTTCTCATTGGACTAGATTTTGATGACGCAGTAATTAGATCCATCTAAACAAACATTTTGTTGTTTTTTATGTACGAAATTATGGCGTATAGAAGTTATTATCGTAGAAAACACATAAATATAAAACAGCGGGGAGTGCTATTCCTGGATCGTACAGGACGGTTGCACGATAATATGAAGTTTACCAAATACCGTCCGTACTCATTGATAACTCTAGTCAAGCTACAAGCAGCAAAGATCCTGATCTGCCATACCATAATGCGTATGCATATCAGGATTGTAGTTTGACTCGTTTTATAAGTGAGTATACATGGTAGCATTATAATTTCTTTTCACACCTTTATGCCACAATTGGAATCTAACCCGGGTCTGAAAATTACGTAACCAACGCATTCTTTACATCATACCCCTCGTACCTTCTTCATAAAATGCATATTCACCTAAAAGGATGGGTCTTAGTCATGAATATAAGCACGTATGCATAGCAAACACCCTACCCTGGCAACCAATTAACTTTCCTCTAAATGAACATATATTTCGGATTTGTCTGATAGTTATATATATATATATATATATATATATATATATATATATATATATATATATATATATATATATATATATATTGACACTTATAATTATTCCATGATTATGAAAATATTATTAAGTCGTTATTTTCACTTCGATTCGTGGATGTAATTGACCTCTCTAATAAACTAAGGTGAATACGTTTAAGGAAAAAGTACTAGAACGTAAGACGTAGAGATAATAAACAGAGTTGCTTCCCTTCCATTTACGTGCGGGCTTTAAATTTATGATTTTATATGCATACATTCCACTGGCCAACACGAAGTTTACATATACATTTAAGTTTTTTTAGAAAACGTGATAGATGAAAGCATCATGCATTGTAAAACTGCGCGTTCGAAAAAAAAACAAAACAAACCCAAACAGACAAAAAGTTTCCATAGGTCTCGACCTAAAATTGGGTTTTCGTCTCGGGACATCAATAGAGGATGGTTAGAGCAGAGACATGAATTTAAACGAGAATAATGATTTTACATAAGTCCACTGTTGTAGGGACATGGAAACACTAAATACAAAATACATCATCTTACACATACAACAATATTACACCACTAAAATATACAAGAAAAATCGAACGTTTAGCGATTACATTTATGAGAATAATATACTCGTATAGTGCGACATGAGTACATCTAAGTACGAAATTCAAAATTTGTAGCACATCAGCACAGCACAAACTCAGATTCAAACTTGTATATCGGAAAGTAGAAATTTAATATTTCCTTACGCAGTAAGATTTGGATGATGGTATCTGATG